TTAAGTTCAGGTATTTCTGCATTCTCCTTCCTAAGTTTATCAATCTCGGCTACAAGCTTATAATTCAATTCTCTCAATGAATCATCTTTAGATTGTGTATTTGCCATTTTTTTATATAAAATACGGATATATTCAATTCTTTTATCATAGAGATGTATATTTTCATCGAAACATAATCAGAGATACATGATACGTAAAACACAAAAAATAAATAAATCCAAAACACATGACTGCGTAAAAAAATTCTCGATCATATATACATCAATAACAATACAATAAAATAAATTCACGAAATACACATGCAAAAGTAAACCTATTATTTATGCAAATCGAGTCACCAGGGTCAGCTTTATTGAAATGGTAAAAATAAATCACATGTTTATACAGATAGTGATAACTGAAGATTATACAAATATCAAACTATTTATGCTATTTATGATTCGTCAGGAAGTGGATCCTTGACCTTTAAACCGCGTCGTGCATGTCTCAAAGATAAGAAAATAATCGATCACGACCCAGACTACATCATTAAAATATCAAAAGCCCGGAACGTGAACAAACTTTATTATAAGTTTATTTTTCATTGATTACATGTTACGCAATACAAGATTTTAATAATGATCTGATTGTGAAGTTATTGAAAAATCAATCATTTTTCCTATTCTAAAAACGTCCAAACCAGAATGAACAGCTTCTGTGACAGTCGCGTGTCTTGCTAACAAGCTGTTTAAATTTTGGTGTTCCAAGGGTATCGCGTTTGAAACTTGCTTTTGTTGATGGTGGACCTGGATTACAGATCTTAGCATAGAAAGTATTAAAAGATTTGCGAAAAATCTCTCGTACTCCTAAAAGCACTTCTAATTCATCAATAAAAGGCAACATCTCTTTCACTGAAGCTGGAACTGAAATTTTCCCGATATGGATCATAGTATATGTTCCTTGAATGAGATCCATCATATAGAAGTCTAATGTATGATCTATAAAAAGCAATGTTCAAAAAAGTTATTCATAAAAATCGTGAAAAAAACTAATTTCTTACCAACACATTGAAAACCTAGCAATTTTATGTCAGCACCCAAGTCTATAGCCGAATCAAGACAGTCTTTCATAAAAATACCAACACGGATTAGATCGTTACAATTCTTATAAACATTGTTTTTTTCTGAAGGTGGACTGACTTCGCCCACAAATATGACACCACTTGTCTGTAGCTGATGGACAATAGATACTACAAAATCCGGTTGTTTGCTTCTCCCCTGTGACTTTCTTGCCTTGCTTTCGTCAAGACCCGTATTGGGCCATTCAACAATGTGTTTGTCTGGATCATGAAATATTTCCCTCATGATGTGGTCCAGATAATTTGTAATAACCGTTATTTCGCTTGGCTCATTTTTAATCTTTTCAGTTGGCAACGTTTTCAGACATTCCAAGATAACGGAATCCAAGTTCTCATCCAACATTTGATCGTTTGTAAGTTCTGCTAGCAGTGATTTTGTAGCACTGCGACGCGACTCTTTTGTTGCTTGTTTGATCACCTTCCTAAACTTTGATTCATATTCTGAGTCTATTTCTGTTTGCTGAACAGGTTTGATTTGTTGATAGACTTCATCGAGCAGAGGAGAACCGAATATGTTGACCATCTGTTTTGAGTAAGAGCCTGGAATAAGCAGAAAAATCGAAGACAGTGCCAGTATTTCATGTACGTTTGATTCAACGAATAGACCATCGGTCTTTGCGATCTTTACTGACTCATTCTGAAATTTCCGGAATAATTGAGATATATTGATCTCTCCTATCTTAAGATCATTTGCTGGATCCCCATCATTGAAGCAAAGTTCGTCTACATCATCAACTATTATGGTGCCGTACTCGTCCTCTTCCACTACAAATGGATTATCTATTGGCAATGAATGTAATTTTGGACTACATGGTGATGGTGTAGAGTATCCATCTTGATGTTTCTTTATCATCCGTTCCTCATTATAATCGGTATCTTGTCTTTTTCTTAAGAGATAAGGTTTGTTATCCGTAGCTGACTCATCCTAGGTGACATAAAATAACCATAAAAGTTTGGTGTTGAATTAGTATCTCAGTGCTGTGCACAGCAGAATTCCGTTTGCACCATTTCCGGATATCTTTAAAAGAAAAATGGTGAATGACCTTGTTAGCATCCTCCATTTCTTCTTGTTCATCATTTCTGGATTTTTTTGCTTCATTTCCTTTCAAAAGATTTAACTGAAGCTTATGAACCATCTTCGAAGTATCGTTTAAGCGTTCATTTCCCGTTTGCAAAAAATTCACAACACCTTCAGCCTAAAAATTTATTAAAATTCAAAATTTACTTCAAATATATAATCCTGGAAGGTTTAACTACACGTTACCTCGACCAATTTTCGTTTTTTATCTATTTTATTGAGTTTTTGGTCCAACTCGTTGTCTTCCCAAAAATCCTTCACTTCCTCCGACTTTTTCTCATTCTTATCATTGTAAAAGATTATGTTCTGATATCTAATACTAACGAAGTTCACCTCTAAATTCCAACCTAACAAACATGGTGTATCTATAGCGGAGCCGAAGCCTTTCATATACATAGCCGAAGCCAGTATACTAGCTAGTAGAGTACCATTGCATTCTCAACGGAGCCAAAGCCTTTATATACGTAGCCGAAGCCAGTATACTAGTTGAGAATACGATACAACGCTCGCGTGTTGGGATCCCGCAGGCCAAAGCTATTGGGCAACAAAACGAATGTCTACGCCATGAACCATAATAAAAAGCTGACTTACTGCAAAACTTTCCAAAGCTTCCTTGACTATATTGTATTGTTCATCCGTTTCCTTATAGCTTCGTTTTATTTTTGTAAGTTCTGAAATATATTTACTTTGAATCTTGTCCTTTTGGAGTAAATCTTCTGTTGCCTGTGAGAGGTAATTTAAATACGTAATCAACGATGGCTTCGAAACCGAACTCCAGTATGCTGTAAATTTTAGCGAGTATAATGTGAATACTGACTGATTCCTTAGATAAGTGATACACCACCATTTACCTGGTTCACACAGATTTTTACAGACGCTTTCATCTAGTTTCATTTGGCAGTAAGGTAAGTCGTCGCGTGTCTTTGTAAAATCACAGTTTGTGAGATCTTATACGCAAAAGTTACACTAAAAAATTTTGGGCCAACATAATCGGAGCTAGAATTACGGTGTCACGGGAAATTTTGTTTCCCGGGAAATTGGTCAGATCGGATCGACATCACAAGAAATCCGATTACCTCATAATTACTACATTCTTTATTACTTAATCGCTCCTATTTTTAACAAACCTTCCATTCGACTCATCAATTTTTCCCATTACTTCCATTATTTTATTCTCACGATTCTTTTTCTCACATTACTTCATAATCCATGTGTTACTTTATTCTTGTCGTGGGAATAACTATCGGAAGGATGTATATAAGTGAATGGCCTTCGCCAGAGGGAAAGGATAACTTATAACTGATAGGATAGTTTTAATAAGGATAACTCTCATAGATAAATTCTTGAAAATAATCCTTTGTAAATAAATAATAAAATATTAACTGCTCTCCCAACATAATTGCTCTCCCAACATAAATTACATTCATTTAATACCCTAATGATCACGGCTTGTTGCTAAACTCGGCAACGAATTCCATAAGACTCTCCCCGAGCCGTGACAACGGTCGGAATTAGCAATAATGTTATTTGTCACATAGCATCACATATAACATGACCTGAACTTCTTTCTGCACATGGAGCCCGAAATATTTGATCATCTCCATTACTAAGAGCATAATTCAAGGAATAGGCTGATTTAGAAGTGTTATCAGAATATACTATTACAAATCAAATAAATTCTGCAATAAAGCTAATAAAAAAAATTGGCACAAATATGTTTTATTTTTTGATGCACTGCGAAACTTTATTAATTTTTTAGTGAAAAAGTGGAGGTAGTAAATGATGGTCAGTGATTTTCTCGGCGAAATATAAAGGTCGTTTCTGTGCTCGAGCTTTCTGGAAAAAAATAAACTTGTGGTACACACTAGATGCTGGTGAAACTGGTGAATGGTGGTGAAATTGGTGAAATTTAATATAACAGCCAATCAGATTTTAGATAGTCACCAATTTCACCAGCTCGCTTATATATTTCATTCGCTACTTTTTTACAGGTCTTACAATATAGGTGTGAATGATGATCGCATTCGTCACAAACCTTACACCCGTGC